TCTTACCTGCAGCTGCGCCAATGTGCAACTCATGTTCTTGCGAATCTGCAGCGACAGCAGGTCAAGTCGCGGATCATAGCCTCCGAGTACTTGGAGAACAACATGGATATCATGGACATTCTTATACCGGGGTAAGAGGTTGAATCGTTTTAAGATCGAGCTATCGAATCGTTACATTACGCAACATCCATTGATGGTTATTGATTGGCTTGAATTAGGTACGAAGATAGCGACATTGCTTTAACTTACGGAGTGATTGCTAGAGAATGCATCCAACACCAGTGTGTTGCTAGGCATGAACCTTTAACTCTTTTCGTGTGTTTGAAACCTTGAGCTCTAGTTAATGAACATCGTTTCTTCTTTAGTTCTAATCCTTTCCAGTTCAGGTATGTCCTGGAATCAGAGAATATGAGGAAGTTCTTTGATTACGTTCAAAATCCTATATTTTATGTAGCATCAGATGCTTCTGCAACTTTTAGAGTTGAGTAAGATTGTGAATTTGTTCTCTCTTCTCTATATCTTATGTCCATTCATCTTGTTGTTGTTGTGTATCTGTGAGATTCTACATTGGTTGGAGAGGGAAACGAAGCATTCTTTATAACAGTGTGGAAACCTCTCCCTAGTAGATGCGTTTTGAAACCATGAGACTGACATCGATACATAATGCCCCAAAGCGGACAATATCTACTAGTGGTAAGTTTGGGTCATTACAAATGGTATCAGAACCAGACACTAGACGGTGTGCCCACGAGGACGTTGGGCCCCTAAGGGGTGGATGGTGAGATCTCACATCGGTTGGAAAGGGGAACAAACGGTGTGCCAACGAGGACGTTGGGTTCCTAAGGGGAGTGGATTGTGAGATCCCACATCGGTTGAAAAGGGGAACAAACAGTGTGCCTATGAGAACGTTGGGCTTCCAAGGGAAGTGGATTGTGAGATCTCACATCAGTTGGAAAGGAGAACGAAGCATTCTTTGCAAGGGTATGGAAATCTCTCCCTATCAGACGTGTTTTAAAATCATGAGGGAAGCCCAGAAGAGAAAGCCCAAATAAGATTATATCTTCTTGCGGTGGGCTTGGGCTGTTACAAATGGTCAAAATATGTCTGCTAGGGAGAGGTTTTCATACTCTTATAGAGAATGCTTCATTTCCCTCTCCAACCGATGTTGAATCCCACAGTATCTTTATATACCAATGGCTCGTGACAGTAAACACCAAGCTAACCGTCGTTTCTGTTAGGTTCGATAGACATAAGCAGTACTAAGGTTTGGCATATTAAGAATATGGTCTGTCAACTAAAACAACCTGAACTGATATTATGCAGAAACTTTTAACAAGGCATAAATCTACTGTTGTTGGGTTTCTTACTAACAATTACGACTGGGTAAGCATTAGATAACGTCTTTGGTGTCGTTTCGTAAATTATTGGTTTGATTTAGATGAACACGAGCTCATTGCATCTGACTTTTCAGTTTTTCGAAGTTTACAATAAGCAGTTGCTGGAATCGACCAACTACATCACCAAACGACACGCTGTGAAGGTAAAGAGAAAGAACAAACGAACACTAGCCGTGTTTTAATGTACATGTGTTAGATTCACTCTATTGCAACTAATGAATGCATCGATTACGGTGCCTCGATCCGATGCTTCGAGTTTTATGATCCTAAAGTTGGGTCCTCTGCTGCAGTTGCTGGGCGATTTACTTCTTGATAACTCTAATGCAGCTGTGATGGTTAAGTATGTGAGCTCATTGGAGAACATGAGGGTCATGATGAACCTTCTCAGGGTAAACTCTCTCACTTACATGTTCATAAAAGCACAACTTTCTAAGAATTTTTACGCCCTTCGTTTCGTATAGGACCCGAACAAGACAATACAACGAGACGCCTTCGATGTATTCAAGGTACTGTTGAAGATTGTTGAATGATTCACGCTACCAAGTTCGTTTTTTTCGTTAAAGGAGTTGCTCGTTTTTGTTTATTAGCTATTCGTTGCAAACAAAAACAAGCCTCCGGAGATCATAGGCATACTTATTGCAAATAGAACCAAACTTCTTCTTTTTCTCGACGGCCTTAAACTCGATAAAGGTAACAATCGACGAAGATAAGAACTCTTTTACGTAATATCATTTCATCCGTGTTTATGTTCACGAATGATCCATCGCTTTTTGGTTCCAGTGGATGAAGGGTTTGAAGAAGATAAAGCTTTGATTATAAGAGAGATCTCCATTTACGAGTCGTTCGATCCTTCATCTATGAAGATGGAAAATTGCGAGATCGAAGATTGATTTCAACTTCTGATACACATTTATCTCTTTGAATTGTTCGATCCACGTTGACATCTAACTTTGCTCCGTACATGGATTATAGATATAGATTGTAGAAAGGTAGAGCCCAAGCTATGTTAACAGTCACTAGATTGCAATTACAATGCTTACATCTTTCTCCCTTGGTCTCTTCATCTTCTCTAAATTAGCTCACATCTTTCTCCCTTGGTCTCTTCATCTTCTCTAAATTAGCTCGAAAATGACATTTTATTGCATCATAGAAGTGTACTAACGATCATACTAGCTTGAGGACGACGTCGGAATGTAGTAAAAGTGGAGGACATTATGGGTATATAAAGATTCTCGCTCTTAGCTACTTTTAAAAATGGTATCGATATGGAGTTTTCAAATATCTTGGATAATAATGTCACTCTGGTGTTTTTTTTGCTAAAAAATGAAATTTTTTTAGAAGGGGAGATTTGAACCTATAATCTCAATTTAGATATTATATACTCTATATTAGTTGAGCTATGTTCGTATTGGTCTATGTTATCCGATATTAAAGAGGAAAATGACGTGTCATACTACTATAGTATTATAACTGTAATTCCTTGTATGCTTGTAAAGTTTGTACACTTAGTTTAGTAGTGATAAGCTTATGGAGTCGAGTAAGATATCCAATTGTTCTGGTGGCATATTTTCTTCAACCCACACAATCTTTATTAAATAATAAACCCAACCCAACCACATAATATTCGAATTAGTTGGTTTGAGTTATTTCGATCATTAATTAATTTTTTAATAAAAAGATAAATATTAATATATAAAACATTAAATTGGGGTCGGTTTGTCAACTAAAACTAATTTTAGGAGAGTTCATGAATCAACTCAACTCAGGAAACTTTCATTTATTTGAATCTTATTCAACCCAAATAACTTGATATCCCAACTCAAATTATACAGATTTGATTGGATTGATCGTGTTTTTTGAATTAGTATTTTTTTTAATACGCACATATTCCTACCTACATTTTAAAACTACGAACAACTTTAGCTTTGTATTATCATGAGTCAGAATAAAACTTTAAATAAATTTTTAGAAATTATGGATTAACGACACGAAAATGAAATGATTCGAGAAATGCACTTGAAATGAGTTGATCCAATTGTATGAGTTTTTTTTTTTTTTTTTTTTTTTTTAATTTGTTAATTTTATAATTTTTTTTTCATCTATTTTTAATAATTAAGCTTACCATGTTTGTAGGAATCACTTAGATTTTCATGCATGCTAGAAAACTCGACCCTAGCAAATAGTGTAGTATGTCTTTTACGTAGGAATGTGGAATAAATGCGCAATTATATGCTTTTGTATGCGAAAATGGATGCGTTAGATCGTTTTTGTCTTAGTGTCATTTTACACTACTAGTACAAATACCATGGTGTGTTGGAGGATGAGACTTTGTGAAATCTAGGATCCGGAGGCTTGATTGATGTTATCACCCTGTTAAGTATTTGTTTGTATGCTTGCATGATTGAATATACATTAGCTCGAGGTGTTTGAATGTGTGATTCTCCCTATAGTGGATTAAGAGTAGAATGAAATTNAAAATATAAATAATATTTTCTACAATATATTATTTAAATATCGTTAAATAAATTAATATAAGCAAATTAAAAATAAAATTCAGATACTAAAATAGAATAAATACGGAAGTAAATTCAACAAATTAATATTCCTTTAATTTCAAGATCATTTTTTAAAAAGAAAAAAAATTAGATTTATTGATACCTAACTCAATTATATATATATTAAAAAATTCTTTTATTTTATTTTTTAAATAGTTGTTGGAATCTTCTGGTAATGTTACCAAATGGCAAGCTGTCAAAGTTCGAAGAGAATTTTTTTTAAAAGAATGGCCAAAAAGAAATAATATTTTGAATTTAATAAATTTCATAACATAATTATTTTTTGAATTGATTTTATTAAAGCAAATTGTGTTGTAAATTGCATTTTAAATTGTAAATTACACGTGTCTGCTAATTATTGGTGGGTGCAACTTTATGATTTGTAATGCACATAGACCTGCCCACTTTTATTCTCGGTTCGAATAGACTCATTGGAACAATCCCGATTAATAGTGGTGGTAAAGAATAATTAATCACATTAAGGCAACGGTTCCTTGGTTTCATCGCTAATTTTTAGCCTTAAAAAACTAAATATACAGACCATTTAAGACTATTTTCTAACTTTATGAACCAAATATATACTAACCCTAAATCTGAGAGACGAAGGGAATGTTACCTTAATGATTAAAATGGTTCATTTTCCAGTTTTACAAACCAAATAAACACTAACCCTAAATTCGAGAGACGATTTAAGACTATTTTTCAAACCTCGAAAATTAAAATTGTTCATTTTTCAAGTTTATGAACTAAATATACACTAATCCTAAATCCGAGAGACCATTTATAACTATTTTTCAAAGCTCAAAGATTAAAAAAAAATGTTCGTTTGCTAGCTTTATGAACCTAAAAAAGAAGTCGTATCTAATACAATACCAAATTTCATTTGTTGCCTACCTACATTATCTCTTTATGTCTAAAATTTGAACTAAATTTTAGACATTTTCCATTTTATGCTTAAATTTCTTCCATTTTTAGATTGGATGTTCTTAGCTTGTAAGCGAAGTTCATAACTTGAAATGAAAAAAAGAGAGAAAATAAGAAAAAAGAATTATGTATAAATATAATAACAAATAATATTCTACAATATGATCATCGCTACTACTAATCCCAAATAAGAAAAAAAACACGAAAACAAAGAAGAACACTCGAAATGTAAAATCAAACAAAAAAAAAACCCAAAATCAGAGACTCTCGGGAATGATCAAACCCTATTAGCATGTCCATTCGTCCCATTGACGCCATTGATGTTATGAGGAAACTTATCAGAGTTGGACCTCTTTCGCTTGATGACGATGGCCCATGTGATCACTTCAAGAACGACGGCAACGGCGCCCAAGAAGATGATGATTCCGGTGTAAGCCCGTTTCCATTTGTCATCGGGGCTCAAGATGCTTAGCCCTTCAAACACGTTGGCGATGCTCAGAGCTATCACACTGTATCCGATCGAGTGGTGGTATATGTTCCAGTAGATTCTGTATTTGTGATCCTTGTTCGGCCTCAGAAGCAGCGCGAAAACCTGAAATGAACAAAACCCAGTAAGGATTTCGATAAATTTAGATTTGGGGTTTTGATTTTTGGATTTGGGGTTTTAGGGTTTCGTTTACCTGAAGAGTTCCGAAGACGAAGAGGGTGATTCCGATGTTGCGATGGGTGTTGTATTGAACAGCAACGGAATCGCTGCCGAGTTTTATGCCGGTGGCCCAACCGGCGACACCGACGGCGTAGGCAGAGGATTGGCAAGCGACGTGGAGGTAAAACCAGGCCGGATCTGCACCTTTGAAAACCTTCAAATACCTAGCGAAAATGGCACCCATCGGCATCAAAGTACCCCAACTAACAGCGTTCAAAACTCCATGAGTCTGAAAAATCAAAACCCAAATCAGATATCAAAATTTCGCCAAATCCCCAAAAGGGTTTCACAAATGGAAACATTAAAACAGACACAGATCAAAAAAACAACGACCCACTTACGTTTCTCCTCTTGAGAACCGAATCCACCGCCGCCGTGCTAGACCCAGTAAGCAAATCGAGGGTATTTCTTGAGGCTCTGTTGTCGTTGGTGAGCGCATGGGCGATTGGAGCACCCCCGGCCATAGGGCCTTCCTGCCATACCTGATTGATGGTGGTCATACCGGCAGGAAGCGTAATAGTTGCAAAAAGAGTCATCTCGCTGTTGACATAAATGGCTGAAAGTTCAGAAACCCCATATCTCAAATCGCTCTGTTGCAGGGTTGGACCAGGGGGATTCAAACTGGAAGTGTAAGCATGAGTGCCACCAGTGGAGTTCTGATGAGCAACAAGCGCTTGAGTCCCAAACATGGCCAAGCCCTGAGGGTTAATACCCCAAGCAACCCATTGATTGGTAGTGGTGGAAGGGCGTCTGAAGGCAATTCTCAAGGTATTGTTTGATTCAATATAGGTCCAATGAAGGAAAGAGTTGAGCACAGGATGATCCACACACGCTGCAAACACTTGAGTATTGGCAAAGCCATTGTAGCTTCTGCAACTCTGAGCTGAAACAGAGAGACACAAGGACAAGACGATCAAAACAGAGAAGCAGCTGTGGAGCTTCATTTCCATGGCGAACTCCTCAAAAAGCTTGAATTGATTCAGGTAATTGTTTCAGTTTTGGTGTTGGGATTGGTTGAGGGAGAGAGAAGAGAGAAGAAAAGGAGTATTTATAATGAAAAAGCTTCATGAATTTGTGTTCATTCTTGGTTGCTTCATGTGTCTCTGTCCATGTTCAACAACTCGCATTGGTTAACCTAATTTTCTACTCCCTCAACCATTTATTCTAGAAGAACATGCTTGGTTTTGTGTTCCTTTTTTTGTTCTTTGTTTCTGTTTCTATAGAATGGGAGCCACCTAACAGAGAAAGGGAAGGAAAAAGCTTGAAAAGTTAGACTCATTCCAACTTCCACCATGGTTAAAAAGCTTCACCATGACTCTTGTGTTCTCTTTACAAATAAATCCATCCACATTAATCCATTTCTTTAATCTTTGGGTTTGAATTAGATCTATATGATTGTGTTCTAAGTTCCTCTTTTTCATGTCTTTGTAAAAGTTTGACTTTTGATTTGAGTTTACTCTTAAGGTTGTAACAAGTTCTTGAGAATTGAGTGTCGTCCCTTCCAACGTGATCACTCTACGTACTTTTTGATCTAGGTAGTAACCTCAATCCTTTTAAGTTCTTCTCATACCCGAAATTACTCTTATTTAGATGTGATCTTGTTTATTTTGAATATATGTAGCTACGTAAAAACTAAGCTCGAAACTTGGGGGTAAAAATGTAAAATCTTAAAACTTTAGGGACCAAATGATAAAAAAAAAATGTAAATAAATGTTAGGTGAGGCCTTGAGAAGAAAAGTACGTGTTGACTCAGCCAGACATGACAGAAAAGAGTGGAATCAAAGTTAAGAAAATTGGAATTGGAATGAAACTGAAATTTTATATAAAATTGGATTTTTAATTTAATTATATTATGTTAATTAAATAAATAGAAAAATAAAATAATATCATTTTGTACAAGTTTGACCAGGAAGCCTCTTTCTCGAGACGTGTTTATGCGTCTCCTTCAACTTTCTCCTCCAAACGACGTCGTCTTCTTCAGTGTTCACATTCATTTTCCTCTTTTCTTTTTTTTCTCCTTTTTTTGAAAAATGGACATGACATAATATTATTTATTTTTAGCCATATGAACAACACCTTTTCAAAAAATTGTCTTTAAATTTTTTAAAGTTTTGTAAATGTAAAGTATGTTCTTAATTGATGTTTTATCTATTAAGCTATATTAAGCTATATAATAGTGCCGTTTAGAACGTTTTAAAAATGATTTTTTTTTTTAAAAAAAAATAAACTTAATTTCCGACACTTTAGAGGGTTTAGAATAAATTTTGGATAACTTTAAAAGATTGAAACGTTTATTCTATAAATACAGTTTTAAAAAGTACTTAATTAATACTTATTTTCAAATGATTCTTTAACGTAGTGCGAAGATTTAAGCAAGTGTTTTTCATGTACTTAAAGAACTTTTTTTTCCATCCATAAATCATACCGTATAATAAATAAGATAAATAATCAATGTTGCATGATTGTTTTCAAATGCTTTTGAATCAAGTAATTATCGTGAACCAAAAATACTCGGTAAAATACTTGTGATAAACATGATTTGAAGATGACTTAATTTATGATTTGAAAGTTCAAGTCTTCTCTTTCCCCTTCATACCGAAATATTATTATAAAAAAGAAAAATCAAAGTAGTTATCTTCAATTTGAGTATAGCTTAGAAGATAAAATATCTTTAGTTTGATTTTTTGCCACATCATAGTATTTAACCCATGTTAAACGACCTCTTGGAAACATGTGGGCAAAGATAAAATAGACTGAAAGGACTTATATTAATTTGTAGGCTCAAAGGACGTATGTCGATTTGTAGGGATACTCTTCACTTTTAAAAGCGAGAAGTAGCGTAACCATGTCTACAGGAGAATGTCAAAACTATCACAATCAAAATCAAATTATATGGTTAAAATGTTTTTAAGATATGGTTGAAAATGAAAGTTCACAATTATTTTATACCCCAACTGCTCCCTCTTTATTGAGCCTCCTATCTAACCCATTTTAAATCTTCCCATTAATAATTAATCATATGATTTCAATTAATTATTAAAATTTGGAACAGACCCACCACTCCACATTCTTTAATCCTTGTTGTTTTGGTCTCTTGCTTGCATTATTAATTAATTAACCCACCCATCTTATATTTTATTATTCATACAAACATGAAATAATAAACATTTAATAATCCTTATCGGATCATACGTATACATACGTATATACGTTCGTACCCGATGTAATTGACCAAGAGCTCAAGAGGGCGTGGTCACAATGGTGGAAAATGAGAGGAAAATGGCCTAAGCAGCCCCCTCCACAGCCTTTTTAGACCTAAGCCTTGTCTGCATCCCTCCTTTGGGGTTTTCAGAGCAGCTACCTCAAAGATGTCACAATATCTTCTTTAATGTGATTTGAATTCATAACCCAGCAGCCTAATCTTTTGGACTCCTTCCCTGTTGACTAAAGTTTCTCTCTTTAGATCTATTCGTGAGTAAACAAAGGGGTTAGGTAACATCCTGGTTCAATCACTCAAGTGGGGTCGATTCAAAGTTTGTCCATTTCTAAGGGGGTGGATATGAATTAGTAAAGTACACATAGTATATCAAGCCTTTGAAGGGACCGACTCGAGCACAAACTCGTTATAGTCCCTTCATTTTTCTGGTATTTGAGGTAAACATAAGAACATGTTGATTTGAAAGGGTAGTTTTTGAAGATTCAAGTGATATTGAATTACCTTACATAGTGTCACGATTATGTTTGTCCCAAGGCATCTTACACATGGTTGCATGATGTCAAAGTATCACTTTATTCATTTCCTTTACCGCCCTCCTGATGTATAGTTTTCTTATTGTATTTTTTAAGCGTATGACATTTCGACAGAATCATGTCTACGTCTAATAGACCTAAAATGCCTCATAATGTACTATAAGAAGAAGCGACTAATTGCCAATTCTTCCTACCCTTAATTACATGTTAACTAAGTCGTTGTGTTGCATTTCTCGCTTATAGCCTATAACATCGTTTTCAAACTTTCTCTCAAAAATCTCTGTCCCTATTTTATAAAACTTTCTTAAAACGAAGCCAAAGACTTGAGCATACATTGCTTAGCCGTATACGACACGATTTTGAATTGACTTGACTTACTTTGTATCAGGAGTGAGTACAAGGTTCCCATTCTCACATACTTGAAACAGTAAAATTTCAACAGCTGAAGGTAAATTCTGATTGTTACTCTCAGGCTTAAGAGGGGACCCATTTGATTGAAGATGATAAAAGCAGATACTTAGTACCTGCCATGCCATTATAAAGTCATTCTGAAGATGCCAAATTGTGGGGGGCATGAGATTGGATCTTGTAGACTAATCTTCACGAGTCTACATCCAGAGGTCAAAGGCAAAGCATCTTGAAAACCTACAGAAACGCATAAGATGCAAAGGCAAAACAGGCACATAAATAATATGAGATGAGAGTATGACGTTTGGATGAGGTGAGGGAAAGGACATTAGAAATATATAGTAAGAAAGTCAGAGTTTTGATGATATCTTATAGAAGGCTTTTTGTGTATTATATTCCATTGCTTCTTGCTGAAGTATCAGCTATTTGGACGTCATATCAGAGGACCAATCAAGAGTTCCCCAAGTCTAAATGCTAGAAAACGAAGTTGTAGAGATGGAGGAGAAGTTTGGGTGGGTACTAATCATGAGTTACTATTCTACCAAACATATCCAGCAGCTCCTCATGCTTGGCCTTTGTTACTTCTAACTCCAGAGTTACCTTCCAAATATGCAAAAGGAAACGACGTCAGAATCGAATCGAGTATGGCCCGGAGATTTACGTGATAACATGATTCATGCTTAATATCTTGGAGAGCATGACTCTCCAATGTGGATGGATGGAAAAAGAACAAGAAAAAGCTTCCTACCCATCAAGTGTTTCCATTATGGTACCAAATATAATATATACAATATGTAGTCAATCAATCAATTGCTAAAGTTCATCAGCTTCTTTTTCTTTGAAAATTTGTAATGAAAGGATCCACATATGTTGTTGAGGATGGTTGTTGAGGATTGATGGTTGTTGAGGATTGTTGGGAGGGAGTCTCAAGTTGGCTAATTAAGGGGGATGACCATGGGTTTATAAGTAAGGAATACTATCTTCATTAGTGTGAGGTCTTTTGAGTAAACCAAAAGTAAAGCCATGAGAGCTTAACATGGTTCGTGGTTTCTAACATGGTATCGAAGCCATACCCTTAACTTAGCCATGTCAATAGAATCTTCAAATGTCGAACAAAGAAGTTTTGAGCCTCAAAAGTGTAGTCAAAAGTGACTCAAGTGTCGAACAAAAGGTGTACTTTGTTCAAGGGCTCCAGAGAAAGCCCTTGGTGTACTTTGTTCGAGGGGAGGATTGTTGAGAGGGAGTCCCACGTTGGCTAATTAAGGGGATGATCATGGGTTTATAAAGAATACATTACCATCAGTATGAAGCCTTTTGGGAGGATAAAAAACAAAGCCACGAGAGCTTATGCTCAAAGTGGACAATATCATACTATTTTGGAGAGTCGTGATTCCTAACATACGTATCGTAGTCAAAGAAATTTTGACACATTAGAAAGACACATGGTTTTCCTTCACCTAAACAGTAACCAATCTTTTAGTGATCAGCATATGTTCCATGTCCCAATTCAAAAGACTCGGTGCAAGTTACTGTTATAAAGCACTAAATCAAATAATAAAATGAAACATAGTTCTGTCGTCTTAAAAAGAGTTCTATTTGTCTTAAAAAGATGCAAAACTGTAACATGTCAAACCCACCGCTAGCAGATATCGTCCTCTTTGGGTTTTTCCTTTCGGGCTTCCCCTTAAGGTTTTTAAATCGCATCTGCTAGGGAGAGGTTTCCACACCCTTATAAAGAATGTTTCGTTCCCCTCTCCAACCGTCTCGAGAGCTGCTGGAGTGGGGAGGGAAAGAGAGAGAGCTGACCTCCTTGAAGATTTCACTGTAAGAAGTCTCTTCAAAGCCCTACACCAATTAAAAAGGATCTTTTAGGAAACACTGCAGGAAGACTATGTTACAGGGGAAAGGTAAACTGTTGGTGACAACAAAACATGCTAACTTGAGTTGGTAAGTAAGACATAAATTTATCTAATTTTTCAAGAAATTGGCTATTTTCTGGACAAAGAGACCAACCAATTTTTTGAACAAA